AATGGCCGCCGCGTGCTCCAAACAATGTTTAATGCGTTCCAATGGGATTTTCTGCCCCGCTCAGCGATGTTTCACACAGCGAGGGTTAATCCGGGACGGATTAACCTCGCTGTGCGAGGCACCACTGTATACACTTGGATTGGGACTCTCAGCTTCATATAAAGACATGCATTTATACTAAGCACATAAGGCACAATAAAAAATATTAGAACGAATATCAAACACTTACATATTTTTATCATGCCTAATGATAAATTGAATGATTCAATATCTCATGTGTGGTTCTGTGTTATGCTCAGCTCCTGAAGAATGTTTCGCCGAAACACATTGAGCCAGAGCTTTTTAACAACTCATTTAAAGAAATACAGAATAAAGAGCTTGTTTCTACTTTCTAAATGAGACTTCGTCTCTCATTTATAATCTTGACTAAAGGAAGCTACAAAATGCAGAGCACTAAAATTCTTCCCTCTGAAGCCACTGTCCAGCCACATGCTCTTGGGTCACTTTATGGGTCCCCCGAGCATCACCTGTTCTTCAATGGTTGCTGAATTCCCATGTTTTTAAAAACGCCGTGTGTACAGAGCTGCTGTTGACATGAATGCACAGGCAGTGATGTCCCCTCACGACGCACGCAAAAACTCACTGTCTGCTTTGAAGGCAGCCATGAGAGGCTCCGAGATCAGTTCTTCCACCGAAGACTCCATTTTTCTTTCTCCATCGATAATCCAGGGAGTCTGAGGTAACGTTCTTGAGTATTTGTTATATCTTCCTGCACAGAAAAACAAGAATGATGACAAGAAGAAGAAGAACAACACAGGGCATTTATTCTTCTTGGTTAGTAAAAGTAACAAGAAGTATTTCATTTTATTTGTTTAATTTCTATACCGCCCATCTGAGCAATGCCCACGCTGGCTGGTCTACAGCAATGACAATTAACATTTAATAATACAAACATAAACGAGAGCAAAAAAAAAGTAAAACTGAGATTACGTTTTAAAACAGAGGGGGAAATTGAAGATGATAGAGTTAAAACCTGGTGGGCTATTCAGGTGGAATATTTTGGAAGGCCTGCCAGAATAAGAAGCTTTCGGGGGATTTCTTAAAGGTCACTAGCGAGTGGTGGGTGGGACAGGAGGGTGCCAGGCAAGTTTCAGATGGCAACTGATTCTTTGTTTTCTCCTTTGGGGCCTCGTTGGCGTCCTCCGCCACCCAGTCTGGGATGTATGGGTAAGGCAGGACATCCCGGTTAGAAGCAGCTGAGGTCCCAAACCGTTTAGGGCTTTATAGGTCAAAACCGGGACCTTGAATTTGATACGGAAAAGTACTGGTAACTCTTGGGACGTGGTGGCGCTGCAGGCTAAACCGCAGAAGCCTTTGTGTGCTGCAGGGTCAGAAGACCAGCAGTCGTAAGATCGAATCCATGCGACGGAGTGAGCTCCCGTTGCTTTGTCCCAGCTCCTTGCCAACCTAGCAGTTCGAAAGCATGTAAATGCGAGTAGATAAATAGGTACCACCTCGGTGAGAAGGTAAACAGCGTTCCGGGTCTAAGTCGCGCTGGCCACATGATAACAGAAACTGTCTTCGGACAAACGCTGGCTCTACGGCTTGGAAACGGGGATGAGCACCGCCCGCTAGAGTCGAACACGACTGACTAAAATGTCAAGGGGAACCTTTACCTTTACCTATTATTGGTAACTAATGTAACGCAGAGAGAATGAACGAACAAACAAACAGACACAAAATAAAATAAAATATAGACTTGGAAAGTGTGGTACCAGAGGCCTCAGAGGCCGGCTGCACATCAAGTCAGAGCTCATTTGAGAGCAAATAGCAAGAAAGGATGTACCTCCTCTTTAAAAGAAAAGAAATGATGGGGGACGCAGGCATAGGAAGACTAGCATACTTAAAAAATAATCATAAGCTGACGGGAGGGGGGAAAATAATTCTTTCTCTCTTTTTTTTTTACCAGCCACAAAGACGGCACCGTGGGTGCACTGAATGTCGACAGCTGCACAAGCGGTCTTAGGCAAACTCGGAGGAGATTTGAAGTTCCTGCAGAAGAGACAGAAGAAAACAGCCCCTTTTCAAAAAACCAAGCAAAATACGGCGGACAAGACAGCAAGAGAAAACAGATGAAGGACAGACAAGCAGTTCCTCTTTCAAATATTTGGAAATGGAAAGGCCCACTTAAATTTTGAGAACTAATCTTTACCCGGAGCTAAAAATCAACTACGTTCTGCACTGCATCTTTTGCACATGCCTCTAATTGTATTAAAGTGACCTTACAACCACTGCCAAAACAAGACAGGTTTCTGTTCAAACTTGGGCAACAGAAACAAATAATGATAAGCAGGAGGCACGCACGCACACGTGCCTGAAATCGCCCAGGGAGGTGGCAGCAAAATCTGCACTTGTGCAAAATACCAGAATCTTGTTTACTCACTACTACTGGTCTGGGTTGGGGACCGCTGTTACACAGGATGTTTAGCATTATGGCCTTGTCTTCAGTTCAGTTGAGAAGGATTCATATACTGTGACTAAAATAGGTTCATAACTTACTTATGGAAATCTTCTTCGCTAATTGCATCCAAAGCCTTTACAACAGCCATTCTGGTGAAAAGAGACTGCAGAGTAAAATAAAACAAAACATCCAGTATCAGCCACTCTTAAACACTGCTTTTTCTCTGACTTAGTAGGAAATGGCAATGCCACTCCAGTATCTTTGCCAAGAACGCCCCATGATCAGAAACATGTTATTTTTAATGTTTGAAAAGAAAAAATGTTATTCATAAGTGGTTTAAATGCATTGGCTGAAATCCTGTTGCTCAGTGTAGTAAGTCACTCTCCATATGTTCCATTTATTCAAATAGGACTACTCTAGTTGCAATTTATTGTGCTAAAGTAAATCACAGTTAGAGTAGGCCCATTTGAATCAATGGAACTCGTGAAGGAGCTGACTTAACAAATCCCTCCAGATTCAGTGAGACTACTTTAGTGTGACTTACTCTACTGAGCGACAGGATTTCAGCCACTGAATATTCTCATGTATTCCAACGGTAAGCTGCTTCAGAAGCTGGCTTTGTTGAAAACTGGACTAGGCATACCAATGTTAGTTTCAATCTCTCAAAAATATGGTAAACAAATAAAATATATGTAGCTGCTGGTTTCAAAACCTACGTACACTGAAAAAAGCTAAACAAGTTCACACAATCACTTCTGGCTGATGTAGGGATTATATATAATGTCCATTTAAAAATGCCAGTTTTGTGTCTGAAACTGACATTCCCATGTGGATGAAAATGAAGGTTAAATTTTAGGTTATGTTGTCCAGAAGTAGCTTACCTGCTTGTTCTTTGCGGGCTTGAAACAACTAGGACAGGTTGAAGCTCTAAACACAAGCGAGAGAAAACCAGTCATGCAAACAGTGCCACTACTTTTGAAAGGATGTTAATATCTCCTATCAAAACAGAGCCATTCGGGACAAGCTGGCTAAGGCTTAGCTTAACCAGTGCCCCAATGTTTCAGTAAGACGATGCAGGTTTCCTCTGAAAAAGCCTCTCCGTCTCTATCCAGAGGGCCAATGTCTTAACAATCCTTAGGAACAGAGGAAAATGGTCACATGCAGAGTCAGGCTCTTTCGCATCAATGATGCTAATACAGTGGTGCCCCGCTTAACGCTTATCCCGCTTGATGATGAATCCACCACACGATGAAGTTTTTAAGATCACAAAACAATGTTTACATTTTTTTTCCACTTTACGATGATCGGTTCCCTGCTTTGGGAACCGATTCTTTGAATTACTACGATCAAAAAAAGCTGACTGTCGGGTTTCAAAACGGCTGTTGGGTGTACAAAATGGCTCCCTGCTGTGTTTAGAAAGGCTTTTTTACAAGACAGGGAGCAGAAAATGGCCGCCCTAGGGAGGATCTTTGCTGGACGGTGAGTTATTCATCCCACTGGAACGCATTGAACGGGTTTTCAATGCATTTCAATGGGATTTTTTATTTTGCTTGACGAGGATATCGCTTAACAGCGATTTTGCTGCAACGGATTATCCTCATCAAGCGAGGCACCACTGTACTGGCTAGATGGGAGTTGTCATCTGAGACAAGTGACATGGCCAAGCTCTACTGCTGAATGATAACCCTTCCCCATCTCCCCTAAACCTCACTCTCAACATCCCATGAAACTGAACCCTTTCCAAAACTGTGTTAAGCCATAGAAGCTACACATGGAAAAGGCGGAACAGAGGCCTATCGGTAGAGCCACCCACCATGTTTTTATTTTATTTTTATTTATATTTTCCCCTGAGTCCATTCGCTGGCAACTTGCATGTGCATAGGCTGATGAGTTACAGTAGGACCCCCATATACATGGGGGATCCATTCCAAGCCCCCTCCCCACAAATGCTAAAAGACAGAGAATGCTATTTTCAATAAGGAACCCTATACACAGCATGATGTCCAGTGGCCAGTTCTGGTAACTTTATCATTCCACCTTTGAGTCCCACTTATGCGGACCCTGGGGGGGGAAGTACGACCCCCTTATCCAGGGGGGTCCTACTGCCCCCCCAGTTCAGCATAGGTGGGATTCAAAGGTGGAAATAATGGTCTTCACCATTCAGGGGAGTGACCTTGGCAAGCACAGCGCTCTCCCTTCTAGGCGAAACTCCAGTGACCTTCACTTGCCATTTGAGTGAAGGTAAGAGATCATCAGAAATCTCTGTATTAGAGATCTCTGAAGAGGGTCCTAAGACAATGAGCAGAAAGAGACTGGGCTCTTTTAGTAAATAAAGATCACATCTTCAGAGGCCATCCTTCCCTCTACTGTGCCTTGACAATCCTGAACTGCTACAAAGGTGTGGTGCATGCAAGAATGGAGACTAGAGGCCCCGAGTGCCATCTGGGCCCGTCTGCCTATCCTCTATTCTCTGGACTCACCACTGCTATTGCATGGTCCCTACGGCCGATCTACATAAGACAGAACAGAGCCAGCATCCTCCAGGGGGAAGCACCGGTGGGTACATGCCGAGCATGTGGTCAGGAAGCTCCCTTTGACCTTGCTCCCTAGGCTGCTAAACCTTGGAGACAGGCTGGTGGGCAGCTTGCCCACAGCAAGCGATGGAAGGGGGCAGATATCATGGAGGAGGCAATGAGGAGGAGGACGATGATTCCCCACTCAAGTCCCAGAAGCCGGGCTTGGGGACATTGAGCCCCTTCGGCTCCTCTCACTGAAACATCCTGCGCCCCCCCATTGCAACTTACAGGAAACGGCAATCCTCGTCGGTTTCTGGATGAGCAAAAATCACGCTGACTTCAAACAGGCTCTGTGACAAAAAGGAAAGCGAGCAGAACGTCATTTCTGAAGTCATCACTGCTGATTTAACCCATTCCCGTTTTCTTCTGCATCTTCAACTTGGCTACGAGGGGTTTTAAAATGAGACAGTTTGCATTACGTTGCTTCTAAATCTGTTTTAGGAATGCTTTATCTATCATACTTAATACAATGTTACTAATGAACTTAATGTCGGAATAATATTTTTAGCTTGAGCATTGTGTTTAATAATGTAAGCCGCCTTGGACCCTTTCTTAGGAGAAAGGTGGGATAAAAATATTTTAAATAAATAAACAAACAGGTATCATTTAAAACTGTATCTGCATATAATCACCTTGCCATCAGCAGGGACCCCCATCTCTTCTAAGAACAAGGGGTGGATAATCCACTTGTATGCTTCTTTCAGCTGAACGAGATCCTCTTTTTCCACTAACAGGTTCTGTTTCCTGCAAAGAAAAAGGGAAGGTAGCTGACGAATGAATCTGTCAGTTCTGCTTCTTCCCACATTGCTTCAAGGATTCAAGTTCTGTCCCCAAAGCACTCACCCCGTTTCTTCTTTTACGAGCAGCCACGCTGCATGCTGCCAGGGCGGACCGAGAAAAGGGGTGGGAAAAGAAACAGGAAGGGAGGAGAGGAGGGGCAGAAGAGAGAGAGAGAGAGAGAGGTGATAAATTAAATGAAAGCTTTATACCCTTCCATTCTGCAACCTGGCTAGCAAAAGTCTGTCCAGGAGCGGTGTCTTCCACAAATACATCAAGGTCACATGAGATAAATTAGATTGGAATAACAAATATAGGCATCCCAAAGAAATGCTTGAAATCTGCCTTGTCGAAGAAAAAAATAAACAAAAATCTCTCCGGTCCTCCCTGCCTCGTTATCACTGGCCCCACGTTGTAAGACATTGCATATCATTCTGTCTTCACCAGTAAGGTGCATTTCCAGGCCAACAAAAAGCACAGTATTTGGGGGTAACTTATCTCTTTTCTCCTCTTCAAAGGCCACAGTTGAAATGTAAAGAAAATACTCACCTCCCTGACAGAGAGCTGAGGTGGAAAAGACACTGAAAACACAAAGCTGGAAAACTGATATTCAGAGGAATTAATTTTATGGCACACCTGAAAAATACAGAGGGAGAATTATTCAAAATATGCTGTACGCTACTATACAGAGTGCAAAATATTTCCATAGCCGTTTTCGGTGAGAACAACACGGACAAATCTCAGGATAATTTATATTACCCAAAGTGCCTCACAAATATGTTGGAATAGAATTGTTAAGAGCTTCTACATAGAGATGAGAACATATGGATTTCCCCTGCCAGCTGATAAAAATCTGGTTCTGGCAGTCCTAGTGATGAGGGAAAGACCACCACCCTTACCCAGAAGAACCCTTCAACCAGAAATTCAGGAGTAACACAGATTAATAATGATTAGGTCAAAAATCGTAGGTTGGGGGGACGGGAATAATAGATCAGGGCTGAGAAACATATGGCTTTTTAGGTTCTGTTGAATTCTTGCTGGACAGCTCAGTGGTTTAAGTCTTTGGCTGCAGAGCCAGAGGTAGAGCGTTCAATGCCCCAGTGAAGTCTCCTTGACCGGGACTGGATGCGATGATCCATCGGGTCCCTTCCAGCTCTGCAGTTCTAAGATTATATTATGGCAGCCAGCCCCAACTATGTACAAAAGCCAAAACAAGCGGGTTTTTAAAAACCAGTATTCAAACAGGGTTCAAACCAGATTTAAAGCGGGATTGCTGGTTTTAAAATGAGGATGACGTTTAAAATAGGTTTTTAATTATTGGTTTTTGTCTGTTTTTAAATAAATAGTTCAGCTTTTTGTGATTATAGCTCACTTTGGAGATCCTCATGGGTTGAAAAGCAATACTTAAACACAAATATTGATACTAGTCATACATCAGCTGGGAATCTACCACCAAGACTCAACCTTTATATGGAACAGGACCTGCTAACGAAGTCAATTTGAGCAGCAGACAGACGAGCAAAGGGGGGGAAACCCAATAATCTAAACACCCACTGCTGTGTGTGTATGTAGCCAAGGCTCTTCAGGTTGGCTGGGGGAGTCTGGGGTCAGTTATCCCTAAAAGTGACCCCCCAAGCTGTTTTTAGTGAAGCAGGCAAAATATTTGGTTTGACAACACAGCAAAAGCTCAAGTCATGCACCCAGCTTAGGGAAAGGAACATGTGACCTTCCAGGTGGTATTGGCTTACAAGCTCCATGAGTCTTTAATACTCATTCAAGATAGGGCTGATGGAGCCCCAGTCAGATAACATTCGTACCAGGCCCTGCCAACTCCAGAGTCTTCACCACCACCGTAAATTAGTCCATTTGAAACATTCGTCAAGCCCTTGAGATCATTCATGTCTTCCCCTCTGCAAGAGCAGACAGGCCTGGCACCAGAGGTCGATCCGGGGGAGCCGTTACCACCCTGATCCCGAGCAGCCAGGACTCTGACATGGAAAAGGGAGGAACCGGTTGAACCAGGAGTGTGGGAAACTTCTGCTTCGAGGCTGTAGCTGCATTATGCTTCAGTGACGTGAATACACTCCTGGCAGGATGCAGCAGCTGCCAGCAGGCGGGCTAGCCCCTTATTCAGCCCTTTCGCTTAGAGGTAGAGCATAAGATCAAAGGGTTATTTTATTTATTATTTATTTATTTAATTTATACCCCGCCCATCTGGTCTTCCGACCACTCTGGGCAGCTAGATCCCAATCCTAGTTATGATTAGGTAACTAGTATCCTATCTGTTTCTCTCATAACATACTATGTAATCATGCTAAGTCAATAAAAGAGCCCTCAGGGCGTTGCCAGTTGGCTCTGCTGGCTCAGACTTTTGCTGCCGACTCCTTTGTTCTTGCTCTAAGGCAATTGGCCTTCCTTTGTTCTGTGATCACCCACACAGGAGGAGTCATGGATGTAAATGACAGAGCCACTGAATTCAGACCTCAGCACCGAGCTTCGGGGTATAAGTTAGGAGCCTCTAGAGTCAAAACCCTCCATTCAGGATCCCCAAAGTGATAACCTTTTGATCTGGACTCTCCAGAGTAATGACACCATTTTACACGAGGCATCTCAAAATGTTGAGACAGATAGAAAATCTTGGCTGGATTTCATACTTTGGGCCGTACTTAAATGATACAGATTCTTTAGTGTAGCCCCAGGGTTGAAACAGACCTTCTTTAAAAAACAAAAAACAAAAATTTGTGTGGCACTTTAACACGAGCGTGCCTAATTTTCCAGTTTGCAAATTAATTTGCTTTTGTTTCGTGACTTGCATTAGGAAAGAGGGAGTTCATATATAAGTGTGATTGTTCAGGTATGGAGCTCTGGAGAAACCAAACTCCTAAAAGAAAATAAAGAGGAGGAAATGCATTTCTTTGACGTAAGAACTGAAACACCACCACCCCATTATAGTCAGCTGGCTACTGGGAGTCTCCCAAGGTTCTGCAATTCTGTGCCAACCCTGTCTGTCTGAGCCTAACCATGTTCATTTGGAAGCAAGTTGAATTGCATTGAGCAAAATTTATTAGCAGGTCAGCATGTATGGGATGGGAAGCTTAAGTAAGATTTTTTGTAACAGAGTTTGGCCTAGCCACAAGCAATAACTTGGAACACCAGATGCTGGAAAGGACTGCTTGTTTCAAAGCCGATAGATAGTCTGTCACCACTTACTGCTTTAACAAAATCTGCCTCGCAGAGCTCCTGCAGAATCCCCAGGCATATTGTACAAATAGCTGGCATTGAATTCTTTCCATCAGAAGCAGCAGGAGATGTGTTTCCATCATCCTCTGCACTATCCAGCTGATGGCTTCCATTCAGGGTCTGCTCTTCAGATTCTTTGGTATTCTCCAGCCTGGGTCTTTTACACGGTGGATCTGCTGTTTCACAAGATAATTCCTCCTCCTCTTTGCTGTTATCTAGGAACTCACGCAGTTCGCTAAGTAACTCCTGATTGAATAAGAAAACAGAATAAGTAAATATCAGCAGATCCAAACTGATGGACTGCCAAAAGCAGCTTCTTTAGCATGTGATGAGGTTCACAGACCTCCACCAATGGGGTGAAACAGTGAGAGTTATAGGACTGGTAACTCAGACTATCATTTCAACAAGCAGTGACGTCAACTGGTTTGTTGCTTTGGAAGCTAATCAGAAAAGAAAAAAGGCCATCTGCATTTGCAATTCTGTGCCCATTCAGCAGGGAGTAAGTCTCACTATAGAGGACTGCAGTAACAATAGCAGAAGTGAGAAAAGGAACCGGGAAGAGGAATCACCACTGGGGAGTAAGGCAGGATAAGCCTTAATTAATTAAATAAAAAGTGTGTTGGTTCCCAGTCAGAGAATGAAAGACATTGTAGCCTGGACTTCTAAGTGGATGGCATTTAATACTCTCACTCACTGACAGAGCACATTACATATAGAGGTACACAGGTTCTCTTCATCCACACACTCATACATTAGAGGACTTCCAATCACAAATCTGGGAAAACCCCTTGATTGTGACCTCAAAAAGCAGCTGCTGGTCCAAGGAAATAATATGCAACTACATGGACCTACATGCAACTACATCTGAATTTGTACAAGACAGTTGAATTTATCTAGAAATCGTTGGTTCTGTTAGATGGAAAAGTCTTAGAAATCAGCTAGGGGACTAGGGGCAGTCTTAGTCAAAGCAACTGTGTGTTTGGTTAGCAACAGAACCGGACAAGACAAGAAATCTGCAAATGAT